ATTTGACAACTCCAACAGCTGCAGAAGTCTTAAACCAAGATGCTCTTAAGCTATGAAGTGAAGAAGTTTCAGAAACCTGAGTGTTGGTAAAACGAAGGGGGTTTTAAAGCACTTACAACTGGAGAAAGTTCACCCAGTTTTTCTGTCAGTGAAGCCAATATCAGGGCACTGTGAAACTTCTCACATTTCACCCAGGCATCACTGTTTTCTGGCAGGTCTGCAGGGAACCCTGCTCCACTTCTGCATTACATACAAACCTCTCATTCTTTCAACTGTTTTCTTTACTACTTTTAAAGAGACAACATTCCATCTTTCCTATCTGCCAATACCAGCAGCTTTGATTATTTATCTGCAGCTTTCCGTCCTGTCCTTACCAAGAGAAGCACCTTTCCCAAATCAGATAGCAAAAACCACTTCTCACTCACAAGCTGTCATTCCATCTCAGCATCTGGAGAGGTAATGAACAAGACAATATGGTTTTGCTCACTTTCATAAAGTGACAAACAAAAGATTAGAGCTAAACACAACAAAACACCTAACAAACAAAAGAAGATAGTAATTAGAAAATCAGAAGTTATTTGTCTTCTTCCCAACTTCCTATATTATTTAGACTTCCATTTAAACATAAAATGAACTGTTTTGAGGTAGCCCTGCTCTACTATATATTCATATAAAACAAAAATTTGATTAAACACTGATCATGACAAGGGCCTGCACACAGATTAAGAACTATTACCAAGACACTCCTTTCTCACAAAGCATTATCAATACGCTTTTTCCATGTGCCTTTTTCTAGTACTACCCATCTGAATTTCAAAGGCTACAAACAAAACCAAAGAGATACTTACAACTCATTTAAAAAAACCAGTTTACTATGAGGAAACAGCAATACTTTCTATTTTTGTACTCACAAATTAGGTTAGTACAACTCGAATCAAATCTCAGAAAGTCATAAACAATTTCAGTTTGGAAATAACTAGAACCAAATAGTCTCCTGAAAAAAACATCAATGTAACAAATGTTTAAACCCCTTATGATTTTCATAAAGCCATTTTAAATGTTGAGAATGTTAAGCTTTTGTAGCCATGAAGACAAAATAAAGGACAGATTTTAAGACTAAAGCTAGTTCTAACAGTGTCCCTGAATCCCTTCAGGAAAGGGCATTTAGCCAAGCATAGCAATCAAAGGGCACCATACCTATCACATGAATATATATAGATATATTAAAAAAAAAATAAATAAAAGTTTCTTCACCCACAAAGCTCAAGCTTGAATTACTGTCATCTGTATATATGGGAGAACATTCCTGGATTGGGAATAGGGATGAGACAGGTGACAGTTTTATGTCTAAATTTCAAGTATCTCAGTCTGTACTGTATACAAATTTAATACATGAGTGCTAACTAAAGCCTTGTAAAATATCTGGAATACTGTATGAACAAGGAAATTCCACCATACCACTCACAGAAGCAGCATTAGAAAAGTGGTTATCAAAATGGTCTAGCAGATATGGAGCTACTGCTATTGAAACCAATGTGAGAAGCTGTCATAGATGTTTGGAAAGATCTAGCAGAGGTACAGGGCATGAAGAATGACTATATACAAGTACTGTGCCTCTAAAAGAACATTACTGACTCCTTCACAGTGAATTTGCTTCAAATTAGAAGAGCAGAATTGCTAGACATAATACACATTTCCATTTTTTTCATTACAATACATCTTAATCTGTTTGCAGCTGTGACATTATTGCTGCTGGAAAATGGAAGGGTGTTTTTGCAAAAAACCTAGAAAATCCAAGTCATCTGACTATCTCTGCTTTTGTAACTAAGCATTCTGAAGCATGGTTCAAAGACAAAACAGCTTTTAAGTCACTAGCTTACCACATGATGCTAGTTGTTTAAATCCTATGATACTTCATCAAAATCTCTTTATAGCAGTATATGAACAGAAAGATGGGGGAGGGAGGGAGAAAAATTAAAAAATCTAGCCTGCACTCAATAGCTCAGCTTGCCTAAAAGCATTCTGAGAAGTGCCAATCAACACTTGCACTGAAATTCTCCTATTCTGTACAGGAACGCACAGTACGAAAGGTTTCCATTGCTCAGTGGAAATCCTCAGGCAGCATTCCAAGCATACTTCACATTCAAGAAGAATTGCCAGTCATACTTATTCTCCATCCACTCAAATTATCAAAAAAACTCATCGTAAACCCACAGAAATTCATCTAATTTGGGGGCATGGAGGAGAAAGTACAAAGCTAGTGCTGAGAAGAAATTCTGACTTTAGGTATCAACAGAAATAAACAACTTTTTTATCTGATCACATTAAGAATTTTTCTTTACTAAACGATCAAATCCAAGTGATCTCGAAATGACAATCATGCCAAACTCTGCTACTTTCTGCATCAACAGTTTCTACGAGGAAAGCTATTGGTTTATTCTCAAATACCTTTTGGCATGCTACAGCAAAAGGTACCTGTACTACTCTCAAATACACTCTCTGCAAGTCTTCATGTGAGGATACACAAATAAAAGCACAACAGACAGGATCTCCCCCAAAAAACCTAAACTTTTTTACTAACTCAGAAACTATTTAGACTTACTACTGGCTTTGACCTGTGGCTTAGTCCTCTATGTAAATACAGTAATACCAGATGTTTAACAAGAAAGGGAAATCAACTCCTGCAAAGACCATACAATTTTCAGCCCATAGTGTGCTTCCGTTTTTTAACATTGGAAACCAGTATAATTTCAGAGGCATAAGGCTATCAGCTCCTGCTGACACTAACCACAATCAGGCTGAACAGCACTGTCACAATTGCTATCTCAATGCTAGACTCCAGAGTGCAAGAAAATCTGAAGGCAGTAAGTACAAAAATCTACTTGAGCTATACAAAAAGATATTTTTTTTCCATTGCTCTGGATCTGTCACCTTTCAATGTCACTCAATATAAACTGCCCTTTGAATCATTGTTGAGAAAAAAAAATATTAAAAAAATCCTTGGAAAAGCACACTCTAAGCTGTAGATACCAGAATTCACAATACTGACCTTTAACCTTTAACCTAAGTTCTAGCATATTAATTTCAGCACATCTCAGTATTACTAAACTGCTCCAAAATAAATTTTAATGTCCCATCCTTCCCCTCCTTTTTTAATATTTATTTCCGATCCTCATCTATCATTCAGCAGGTCAACACAATATAATCATTAAGATGTCCTCACAGAAGGGTACACTGTTCTAGGATTGTAAGAGATCATTCTTTTGAATGTATTACCCTACAGTTACACAGGCTGGTGTTTTTCTAACTCTACTGGAATATGCATATTATCAATAATTGGAAACAGTATGTCAACAAAGAAAAACAGAAAGTTTAATCAAGCAGTTGAATTGACTGGAATCCCCAAGGAAGCTGCTTTTAATAAAATGAAAATTTATATTGGTTTGAAGCCTTAAAGTACAAATTTTTTCCAACATTCACCAATCTTAGTATGAAGACCACCACACTGAAGCTCTTGGACAAAGCCAAGTATGAAATCCTAAGCACTCATAAACACGATAACCAAAATATAAACAACACATCATGAAAAAAAAAATCCATGCCATTTTAAGATATTGAAAAACAATAACAAATTTAAAGTTCAGATGTCTGTTATCCCAGCCATATAGATACTATCAATTATTTCTAAATTTTAAGTCTAACCGCATGTCTTTGCAACATTAGAAATGTTTTTTTAAAAAAACAAACGTATGGTTAGATATAAGGAGGAAGCTCTTTATTGTGAAGGTGGTGAGGCACTGGAACAGGTTGCTTAAAGAAGTGGCAAATGCTCATCCCTGGCAGTGTTCAAGGCCAGGCTGGACAGAGCCTTGGACAGCGCAGTCTAGTGTGAGGTGTCCCTGATTATGGCAGAGGGGTTGAAACTAGATGATCTTAAGGTCATTTCCACCCCTAACCATTCTATGATTCTATGGGACTATTTACAAAATGCTATGGACTATTTTCAAAATGTAGGTGTCTTAGAATGCACATACACATAAACAAGTCCTTAAACTGCTAACCACAGCTCCTTTCACTTCAATACTTTCCTGTGAGTTCATTAAGTCCTCATAAGTGTGGTGTCTGGGCATCTTCTCTCTCTCAAAGCCACTTCCTTATTAGAATTCTATGTTTCTTGACAGTAACATTGATAAAATACACAACTGATTCTTTTCTAGGCCATCTGCTCTACTGCTAAAACTCAAGAACTTGCAAGGCCAGCTATGTGATGACTGTCCAAATACCTGCACCGCTTTTTCTCATGAAAGATATGGTAACTCAATGTATTTACTGCTCCCTAACTCCAGATAGCAGAAAGGTTGCTCAACGACTGCAGACACTTGGTAAACACTCCAGCATTAATTATAGAAAACATTGTATCAATTGTGCATGACCGGTGAAACTCAGATCTATCGTTGCATGACTTTGCCATTCCGATGCATCAGCAGAAATAACATGCTGGCTCCTGACACCCCATTTTTGACAAAAGGCAGCCATGACTTAAACCCCAACTTTCTCCTAGCCACATATAGTTTATCTCTTGACAGGAGTAACTAAAAGTGGCACAAAAAAAACCAAGGCAGCTAAAAATTAAGTCTACACCACGAGACTAATAAAAATTCAGGCTAAAATCTGCATCTCTCACATTTCTTCCGCTTTTGGCACACGCATGACCTTCATGGAAACACTGAAGCTCGATCAAGTCTGTGAGAAGGACCAGAGTAACACCGGTCCTGGCACCCCATCTCCCCAGCCCCCGGATGAGTCCTGCGGCCTCCCCCAGCTCCACGCACGCGAGCTGGAGAAAACACGAAGCGCTACAAACCGACCGCCCCGGCCGCCCAGCTTCCCTGGACACACGCACCGGCAAAGTGCCGCGCCATGAACTATCCCCGACCAGCCCTGATCCCTCTCCCGCACAACCCGCCGCACCCTTCCCTCCCCGAGTCAGGGTCACTTACTGAGCTGCCCGGTCCCGGGCTCCCTGCCGCCTGCTCCCCCAAGTACGCTGCCGCCCAGCCCACTCAGGGCCCCGCCGGCGGGCGGCGTGCCACTCTGCCGCTCGAAGTTCCCCGGGTTGGAGAAGAAATCGCGGAGTCGAGGCAGCTCCCGGCCGCTCTCCAGCAGCTCCGTGTGCAGCTCCAGCGCCGTCAGCAAGAACTGGTCCCGTAGAAGCTGCGCCGCTATCGCGTCCATCGGTACCCGCGCCGGCTCCCCCGCACAGGTCCCGCCGCCCGCCCCCGCCCCGCCGCCAGCATCGCCCGGTGCCGCCGCACGCAAACCCGGCAGCTCATCGGGGCTCCCCTCGGCCACTACCGCCTCCTGCTGCTGCCGCGGGTACACCGGCCCTCCGGGCTCGTTGCTGCTACTGCTGCCGCCGGGCCTAGACTCCTCGGGCTCGTCCTCCTCGGAGTCGCTGAGGAAGGGGTTCACGCTGCTGCCCCCGCCTGCCGCCGCCATCTTACAGCCCAACACGGCGCGACCACTACCAAGGCGTTACCCTGGCAAAGCCTCAGCGGAACCGCCACCGCCGCAACCACTTCTAGGAAGGCCAGGGCAGCTGCCAGCCCCCTTCCCTGTTGCGGACACTACCGCCAACGGCGGCAATGACGACTCCCTCCTCCTCCCACCGCCTCAGCCACCTCCCACCAGCACCACAGCCGCTTCCGGATAACAACTCTCGCGAGAGCTTCCCGGACCAACCACGAGCAGCGCTCGGAAAACCAGAGCCCCTCCCCTGCCGGCCTCACGCCTGCCCCCTCCGCCGCAGGAGCAGGGGCGCATTGGAGGGCGTGGCCGGAGGGCGGGGTCTGTGCGGGGGGGCGGGAGCGGGCAGGCAGGCGGAAGCGGAAGTGGCTGGGGCTTGCTGCGAAGGAGATGAGTGAGTGCTGGCGCGTGCGCAGTGGGCGCTTCCTTCGGGGGCTTGGGGGTAGTGGGTGCTTGGTGCTGGTTGTGGGACGGGTTTTGGCCTGCACTTCTCGGCTCCTGGAGGGTTGTGGCCGTTTTGGGCGGCTGCACAGCCTGCTGCGTATGGCTGTTGATGGGGCGGAGGGTGTGAAGCTCGTCTTCAGGACCCGGGCCCCATGGGACCCAGCGGCCTCCTCGCGTATCTCCTAGGTTGTGTTGGCTGGGCCGATGTAGGGCTCCGGTGTACGTGATAGGCCTGAAATCGGGGGGAGAGGCAATGTAAACACATCTGGTGATAACTTGTGTATCTGGGAGTGTGATGTGGAGGTGTAACCTGTCAGGAAACATCCAGAGTGTAGCAAGAGCTGGTGTTTGTTCCTGCATGGAAGTTCAGCTCACTAAAAATGGTACAGGATGAGGTCAGCTCTGGTGTCTTTTCTGTTTGAAACATGTCCCATTCCCACTATACTTGCCAGATTTGTATTTGTGTAAAGCTGATTCGCTAGGAAGTACTTGCTTTACTGAAAGCAAAGTTGGGATCAAAATACTGATAAGAATTTGTACTGATACTGAGATCCTTCAGTCTTTGCGAATAATTAAAAACTGTTGAATCAAGATTATAAGTACAGCCTTTAAAATTTACGGGCGTTGTTATGATTTCTAGATCTAGAAGCTGTATTCAGTACTGTGACAGCAAACCCTTGTCACATCATGCAAATTTTCTACAAAAGACTATTCAGCCTGGAGAAGAGAAGGCTGTGTGGAGACTCACAGCAGCCTCCCAGTATCTAAAGGGGACTTACAAGGATGCTGGAGAGGGACTCTTCCTGAGGGACTGTAGTGATAGAACAAGGGGCAATGGGTTCAAACTTAAACAGGGGGAGTTCAGGTTAGATATAAGGAAGAAGTTCTTTACTGTGAGGGTGGTGAGGTACGGGAACAGGTTGTCCAAAGTGGTAAATTCTCTGTTGCTGGCAGTATTTAAGGCCAGGTTGGACAGAGCCTTAGACAACATGATCTAGTGTGAGGTGCCCCTGTCCATGGCAGGGGGTTTGGAACTTGATGGTCTTAAGGTCCTTTCCAACCCAAACCATTCTGTGATTCTGTGGCTGGCACTTCCCTTGTGTTTTTAATTTGCATGAGTTTTTGTAAGCAATGTAATCAATTTTCCACTGTGCTGTAATAAACTTTGACTTGTTTTTTCTACATTACTGTTTTGCGTTGTCGATACTATGCAAAAAGACAGTAAGTAGTGGAGTGTGAACTAGTTGTTGCGTGGAGTAAAATGGTGGTGTATTGAAAATGCTTTAAAATTTGATCGGACCACAATAAAAATAAGAACAAAAACATTTCAGTGTTGGTGCTCCGGTAGAAATAGGAACCCTTAAAGAAATCTTATGCTATTTCTTTTCCTTTCTGCAGAGGTAAAGAATGTTAATTGTCAACTTGATGATACGCGGGTGGTGGTGTGCCTCCTCCTTGAAATGGAGGGGGAAACTGATGTCCTGTAGCAGCCTCTAGTGGCGATCGGTCGTGTTTGCATGTGTCTGGGAGTTGTTAAATGTAGCTCGGACACTACATTCTACTTTTTTCAGGGGTCTGATTTCTGCCAACTCCCGTGTGTTTCTACAGTAAGGACCAATCTTTTTCCCCATCCCTCCCCTAAAATAATGTAAAACTTGAAGTAATTGAGATGGAAAATAAGTAGAGAAATTTAAGTCTTTGCTTTTAGTGTGTTGATTTTGGTAGGGGTGCTAAATCTTGAGCTGATGCTTTGAAGTTAAGTGATCTTAAATACATGACCAGTTTTGGGTTCTCTCTATGCTGTTTGGGGAGGTGGTGTATGTAAAGGGTGCTTGCTTCCTGTGCTGCTCTGGTGCAGTGTCAGTTGCTCTCAGAGCGACTGCACAGTTTAAGTCAAGCTATAAGGGAGGTTGTGTTTCAATTACTACAGACAAGGTTAATTTTATTTTTAAAATAATTCCATAAAGTCCATATTGAGGTTTTCTGTTCTGGACACTTGAAATGTATAAATTCATGTGTTCTAGTGAGAGAAGTAGGGTAGGCTTTTTCCATCTGATTGGAATCCCAATGAAGACACAGGGAACAGAATGAGGAAAACCTGAGCCAATCTGATTTTTGCTTTAAAACGGTGCAGATCTGTGAGTTCCACCAACTCTTACTTACATTTTCTTCTAACATGGAGCTACCTGAATGTCTGTCTATATATGTTTAAGACTTTTACCTCCTTTCAAAATAAACTTTTCAGAAGTTAACAGTCTTTATGGTTATTGTAGTACCTTAAAAAATTGAATTTTAGTGCTTTGTCAACACTTTAACCTCAAAAATATTTTTATATTCTGCAGGAACAGAATAGTGCAAGTGTTAAAACTCATAATGGTGGTGGTTTCTGCTTCAAGACTTCTGCCATTTCTCTGAAACTGTATCTGTCCCTTCCGGTATTAAGGGTATTTTTTTTTAAGGAGGATAGCTTATACCGCAGGTTAATAGTTACCTGTGTGTCAGGTACAGTTGTAGCTTTACTTGGAGATGCTGACTTTAGAAAGTGCTTGTTAATTTGGGGTTTGAAGTCAAATTAGTACAGCAGTATGAAGGGGCTCTTGGAAATACTGTCAGCCTCACCAAAAATGTTATCTCCCATGATGTCTGATAAGGACCAGAATTAAACAAAACAAACCCCCCTAAATTCCTTTTAATCAAAGTTTGGGTTTGTTTTCCCATCTCTAAAACTGTTGTTTTGAAGCATTACTGTGAACAGTGGATTTTTGGAAGCCTACCATCAAAAATACAGTAAGCGAACACACTCAGAACCTAAGGAGTGTTACAGAGAACTTGTTCAAGCTTCATGATGTGTGTATTACGTTTTTGTGAGAATGAATAGATGGGGAAAACTCACTCAGCTGTTACAGTTGAGTGAGACATAATTTGGGAACAAAAGATAGGACTTTTTAAGACACCACAAACACTTCAGTTGCTTGGGCTTCACTCACTGTAGTCTGGAAGATGGTGTGTGTTGCCTGGAAATGTTGGCTTCACAGAGAGCAGTTGTATAAGTTAGCTCTAAGATGGTATGCTATGCCATAGTGAAGGACCATATGGATGGGGAAGGGAAACAGTGTGCTGAAGTATGAAAACCGTAATTGTAAAGTCATTCTGGAGTTCCGAGTTCTAAAGATATCGATATTCAAATGAAAAGCTGTTTTAAGGTGTCTTTTGTTGAAGCTTTGTGGAGGCCTAGACAATTGAGGCTTGACATTGAAAAGGTCAGCAGCCAAAAAGTAAAAGTGTCTTGCAGAAAGTGGCCTGGCTTTGTTTTAAAAACAAAAATAAATTCACAGGATTTCAACAGAGGGTGTTTACAAGTTGGTATGTCAAGAATGATAATGAATGTTGCTTACCGTGGCAGTAGAGATTGCTGAGGAGCAAAAAGAACTTCATTCTAAACTAAGTATTTCAGGCTGCAGTAACTTATAGTTTGTATAGGTAATGGATAGCTTTGTGCACAGCCTTATGCACACTTAGGAATACTCTTTTAATGTGAATATGTTTTAATGTGAATACGTTGTAAGTATGGCTGCTAGTTGAAGAGGAGGTAACTCCTTTGAATATGGATTTCTTACTAGACCTGCAAGTATCCTTGAACAAATACTGTATATACTTACATTACTAGCTGAGAACTTGAGTACTTTCTTGAAGGTGATATAAACCAGCCTCTTTATCTTATTCTGCACTTCACAACTTGGCTATTGCAATTTCTATAGAATGGTTTGTTTCATGTGGTGATTGAAGGAATTGAAAACATACCCCATACTCTCCCCTCCCCTCCCTTTGTGCTTATTTCTTTATGATGAAGCAGTGATTTCTGACAATGTGTTTTCAGAATGGGGTTACCTAGGGACTTGAGTCTGTTCTGGTCCTGAATACTTAGTAGTACTGATGAGCACGATTGGCTTTGTGGGGGCTGGTAGGGGTGCAGGACCCATAGAGTGCCTGCCTGGGGCAGGTGGGGCTATATGGCCCTGTCCCAGGTGGGCACTGGCCATAACTGTGCTCACAGGTTGCTCTTCAGAGGTGTGCTTATCAATTAGTTGTGTTGTGCAGTGTCTCTCTGATTTGGATTGCTTTCCTCAGGCTTTAAATGAGTTTCTGTTCTCAGTGGGAAACTTAACTTACCTCAATCTGTGTCAGCTTTGCTATGAACTGAAATCTGGTAGGGAAAGATAAATAAAATACCAATACCAGTTGAATAGCATTCAGTAATACATTATATTCAACTGGCTAGGATAATTAAGTAGGACTTTTTAATTCAAAAATTCTAAAGGTTTTGTTTTGGCTTGGTTTTTGGTGGTTTTTTGTTTGTTTGTTTGTTTTTAAAGAAACTTTGAAAGCGAGGGAACCTACAAATTGATTATTTGACTTCTGTGTTCCTTTCATTGAGAGTACTACTGTATGCTTGGAAGGTTGTCTTGTAGTCCTTTTTTTCCTCTTCGTATTAGCAAATCAGCATTCACAGGCTTGTGCGCAAGATTCAACAGGTGTGGGTTGTTACTATTTGAGGTAATTCATGTTTATTTGTAATGGTTGATATTGATAAGAAAATGTGACTTTAATAAAGACAAGCAACTTCTGTCAGGTCTTTAAAGTCTTCCTTAGTCCCACTAGCTTCTGTGGAACATACTTTAAGCACTGTTTGTTTTATTTTCAAAGGGTGTTTTCTTTGTGTGTATACAGA